ACCGTGGTGTCCACGGAGAACATGGACGACACCTCCACCCTGCCGGGACACCCGCAGGACCCCTACCCGCCCGACGACGACCACAACGACCACGACTGCTGCGAGCGCGTGGTCATCAACATCTCGGGGCTGCGCTTCGAGACCCAGCTGAAGACCCTGGCCCAGTTCCCTGACACGCTCCTCGGGAACCCCAAGAAGCGCATGCGCTACTTCGACCCGCTGAGGAACGAGTACTTCTTCGACCGGAACCGGCCCAGCTTCGACGCCATCCTGTACTACTACCAGTCGGGGGGCCGTCTGCGGAGGCCGGTCAACGTCCCGCTGGACATGTTCTCCGAGGAGATCAAGTTCTACGAGCTGGGCGCCGAGGCCATGGAGAAGTTCCGTGAGGACGAGGGTTTCATCCGGGAGGAGGAGCGGCCTCTGCCGGAGAAGGAGTTCCAGCGGCAGATCTGGCTCCTGTTCGAGCACCCGGAGAGTTCGGGTCCTGCTCGAGGGATCGCCATCGTCTCGGTCATGGTTATTCTTATTTCCATCGTCATCTTTTGTTTGGAGACGTTACCGGAGCTGAAGGAGGACCCCAACGACCGGATGCGTGTGGTGGGGAACACCACGGTGTTTTACAAAGCCAACGTTCTGACGGATCCGTTCTTCGTGGTGGAGACGCTCTGCATCATCTGGTTCTCCTTCGAGYTGATCGTGCGCTTCTTCGCCTGCCCCAGCAAGGCGGCCTTCTTTAAGAACATGATGAACACCATCGACATCGTGGCCATCATCCCGTACTTCATCACCCTCGGCACGGAGCTGGCCGACGACCAGGGGGGCAGGGAGGGCCGGGGAGGTGGGGAGCAGGCCACCTCCCTGGCGATACTCAGGGTAATCCGTCTGGTGAGGGTGTTCCGGATCTTCAAACTGTCCCGGCACTCCAAAGGGCTCCAGATCCTGGGGCAGACTCTGAAGGCCAGCATGAGGGAGCTGGGGCTGCTCATCTTCTTCCTCTTCATCGGCGTCATTTTGTTTTCCAGCGCCGTCTACTTCGCCGAAGCCGAGGAGAAGGAGTCGTTCTTCACCAGCATCCCGGATGCTTTCTGGTGGGCCGTGGTGTCCATGACCACGGTGGGCTACGGGGACATGTGTCCCGTCACCATCGGGGGAAAGATCGTGGGCTCGCTGTGCGCCATCGCCGGGGTCCTGACCATCGCGCTGCCGGTGCCGGTCATCGTGTCCAACTTCAACTACTTCTACCACCGGGAGACGGAGGGCGAGGAGCAGGCGCAGCTGCTCAACATCAGCAACCAGAACTTGGTGTCGGAGACCAACTCGAGCCGCCGCAGCTCCTCGGCGGTCAGCAAGTCGGARTACATGGAGATAGACGAGGACTTGAACAACAGCATAGATAACTTCAGGGAAGCCAACCTTCGAACTGCCAACTGCACGGCCCCGAGCCAGAACTGCGTGAACCGGGCCAAGCTGCTGACAGACGTGTGAAGCAGCTCCTGCTCCTGTAAATATGTAGAAATCTGGATGCTTTATCTCCATCAGTGCATTTTATTCCTCTTCTCTGCTTTCTTCTTCGAAAGACTTCCACGCACAAACAAAACCTTGTTTTGCAAAGATGACCAGATGTTGGCAGCTCAACGAAAATTACCACATTTTATCATTTCAACCCTCAAATAATCAGATATTTGAGAAAAATCAAAGGAGTAGTTTACATATTTTAAAAGYTAAACCTTTCAGGTCTGTGTCAGGAGGTCCTGGTTTAGGATTTAGCACAAAACCCCCAAACTATTCTGACCAGGTCTGTTGAAAATATTCAAATTTAACTTTACATTCCATCCAATTAAGAGTGGGTTCATCAGTTTAACTTCTGAATTGTTTCAGTGCAGAGATGGACTTCAGGGGCTTCGGGACCTGCTTTAGGACCTAGTATCAGTTCTAGCATCCCGGACAACCCCCCCAATAAAACCAGGATCCAGTTTGTAGAGTTTATAAAAATATAAAGTCAAGACTTGAACCCTGAAATGATCCAACACATTTCATGTTACTGAAGAGGCACTCCACCAGTTTTACACCAAGTTCAGTTCTTTTGATCCGGAGTTAAGCTTCAGATCCAACAAGTTCTGGTTTTGGAAATAGGACAAGTCCTGGTTTTTGTTCTGACCCACTTCTTAATGATCACAACATAATTCGTAAACCAGTAACTTTATAGTTTATTTGTCAGATATGTCAAAAAAGAAAAGGTTCTGGGTCCAGACACATGTTCAGGGATCCCGGACGACCCCCCCCCCCACACACACACACACAAAGTTAGAATCCAGTTTAATTCAACTCAACAAAACCTGGTTTAAATCCAGAACGAACCCCAATTCTGAAGTTTAGAAACTTTCTGTAACCTAAAACTTTGAAACTGTCAGATGTTTGACAAACTTTTAAAATTGTTGACAGATTTATTTAAAAGTTTTAAAAAGTTTTATAAAAATGTAAAAAAACGCAACGTTAAAGTTAATCTCTAGCACCAAAACTAGACTGAAGTTATTCTATCAGTGTTNATCAGTGTTTGTTCAAAAACACTTTTATGATTAAATAATTCATCTTTATTTGAATATAAAGTAAGACAGGAAGAAGATGATTAATTTTCTGTTTATTTTTATGATTTATATGATTGTTTTCTTGGTGCAGCAGTAAAACTGTGGAGTGCCTCTTTATTAAAAACCACCGATCAGCTCAGGCTGCCAGAAACTGACTGCCATCATCGTTTTCCAGCTCAGAGTTTTTGACACGATCTAACTTTGAACTGCTTCACCTCCAGGTTAAATCTGGAGACATGAATTTAGGTAWATATTGCTCAAAAAGCACCTTATATTATCTTCAAAAGGCATTAAAGCAACTTGAAAAGTCACATATGCAACGTTTGACCAGATGAAATGGAAGTAGAGAATCAAAAGATGTAAGAAGGGAAGTTTAGATCCGGCTCACACCTGCCAGACTCCAGCGTCAGGATCAACCAAGGACAAAAACCCGTCCGAGGACTCGGGTCCTCTGGAGGGGATTACAGTTGTGGTTTTGGTCCAGAGGAACTTTTTCAGGCACCTTACGGGAAACAAACAGGAAGTGGGCGGATGACGGAGGACGATCTGCTGCTGGAGCTTTTCTGTCTGATGCCATGCAACGCTCCTTTATATCGAAGCATGTGGAGACTTTTCCTCTTCTATCAGCATGAACACAACGTTACCTCATCCCATCTTCTCCACTCTGTGTCCTCTGACCCCCGCCTCCCGTCTCCTCCTGGATCGCCCGGTCCCACCAGAAGTGCTCTGGCTGTTCGTGGCTGATTCGGAGCGTTAATGTGTTGAATGTTTCGGGGAGAGGAAGATCGCGGCATGTCAGATCCTTCAGCATTACGGCCTAAACAGCTCTGATCCACTTATACTCAGTGCATGACATCAGTATTAAAATGCTTGCAGTTGTGGAGGGACCTTTAGAGGATGATGATGATGATGATTCTTGTTGTCAGGCTTTCCACAGGAAAACGTGCATGAGGGAGCTAGCTGAAAACAGAAGAGACGAATCTCTTTAAAAGATTACATTTAAGAATTTCATCCTCCTTTTTTTAAATTTCTGTTTTTCCTTTGGAGCTTCAAAGCTTGACGATGGAATGCATGAGAGCATCTGATGTGCTTTGTGACCCACTTTTTCTTTTTGCTTTAAAGAGTCTGAAGAAGAGAAGCAGATTAATCTTTAACTTGGATATATTTCTAAAAAGATTTTCTGGTGCCTTGAATCCCGTCTTGTTACAGAATTGACTAAAGTGCCTCCAGTTTCAGTGACAGACAGGAGTCTCCATCGTCTTCATCAACATCAACGTCTAATTTAATGGTTTGAGCCATTTAGATGAAAGATTCTATTTTTAAAAACAAGTTTGAATTTAATGAAGATTTCTCTGATTTACATGTTCAAACACCTCATTTCTTTAGTTTCAATGAASAGGGGTCAGGTCTAAGAACCTCAGGGTCTGGTCACCTTTAGCCTGTCCTGGGTACCAGTCAGCTCCTTTAAGCCTGAGGCCGTGGTTCTGAACCAGGATCAGGTGAAATGCCACCCRTGGGTCGATGAGGTTTTTGTCCCAGCTGGRGRAACTTAAGCTCCTCTAAAGGAGTCMGTTGAAGTGGTCCACCTGATCAGGAAGGCCTCTTTAGAGGTTTTACCTGCACCTGTCCCACTGGGAACAAGCCCTGGGGCTAATTTCAGCTTCAGCAGTGCTAGCTTTTCAACACTTCTAATTTTAGCTTCTCTTCTGCATTTAACTCAATTTCACTTTCTTCAGAAGTGATTATTAATCTATTCAGTAGATGTTCTGCAGTGATTCAGTAGATGTTCTGCAGTGATTCAGCAGTGATTCAGCAGATGTTCTGCAGTGATTCAGCAGTGATTCAGTAGATGTTCTGCAGTGATTCAGCAGTGATTCAGCAGATGTTCTGCAGTGATTCAGTAGATGTCCTGCAGTGATTCAGCAGTGATTCAGCAGATGTTCTGCAGTGATTCAGCAGTGATTCAGCAGATGTTCTGCAGTGATTCAGCAGATGTTCTGCAGTGATTCAGCAGTGATTCAGCAGATGTTCTGCAGTGATTCAGCAGTGATTCAGCAGATGTTCTGCAGTGATTCAGCAGATGTTCTGCAGTGATTCAGCAGTGATTCAGCAGTGATTCAGCAGATGTTCTGCAGTGATTCAGCAGTGATTCAGTAGATGTTCTGCAGTGATTCAGCAGTGATTCAGCAGATGTCCTGCAGTGATTCAGCAGTGATTCAGCAGATGTTCTGCAGTGATTTAGCAGATGTTCAGCAGTGATTCAGCAGATGTTCTGCAGTGATTCAGCAGATGTTCAGCAGTGATTCAGCAGATGTTCAGCAGTGATTCAGCAGATGTTCTGCAGTGATTCAGCAGATGTTCTGCAGTGATTCAGCAGATGTTCTGCAGTGATTCAGCAGATGTTCTGCAGTGATTCAGCAGTGATTCAGCAGTGAT